GCTCCTCCCCCCCCGCTCCTCCCCGCCACCCTTTGTTATTAGTCCACCTTTCCTGGCCTTGCACCTGGCGTTTGGGAGCGTTTCTCTGTCACCACAGCCTTTTCCTGGTGACAGCTAGCGGTCTGCTGTGGAGGGAGGGCTGGGAGAGAAAAATACCGCAAAAAACCACATTTGAGACGTGTTATAAAAGCGAGAGTTGCTGGCGCTGGTGTCAAAGGCTGTTTTCCCGGCTTTCTGGCAGCGTTGAGGGCTCTTTTCCTCACTCCCCCAACCAGCAGCGATGCTGCTGCTGGTTTCTAGCAGGGAGCTTTAGTAGGAAGGATGGCATGTGGCATTCCCAGTGGCAGACTTCTTCCTCAAGGACCTAAATCTAATCCCTGTTGTCACAAAATCCAGTGTGCATTTTATAGTCCTGCTTTCAGGTGCTGTCGTGCACAGATAGTATGTTAGCAGGTGGTTATACCTACACAGCATATTAGTTATATATATGCATTCATCTATATATGTGTGTGTATATCTATATGTGTGTGTATATATAAAAAAGTGTCATTGATGATGTGTGCACTGGTCCCCCAGAAGAACAGGGTGCTCTGCTTGCATGGTCGCCACGCTTCCTGCCTCCAGCAGCTTTCTTATCGTTCCTCTGAATCACAGCACACTCCTGTTTCCTATCATTGTTTGTCCTTTGGCCATCACAGCCTAGCGGCTTATATTATTTATGTGCAGCGAGACCGCCTTTAGAAGTTCCCGAGATGGGCACAACACTACATTGTTCTGCTGTGCAAAAGCGGAACAAATGGTCTGTGCCGCAGGACATGGGTATGGAGCAGCACGTGCGCTCAGTTTGGAACAGAGGAGGGAGAGACCAGGAAGAATGAATAATTTCCAGTGTTCTCATCTTTTGGAGAAGATATGTATGGGTATTTCTGGTAGTTTGTTTCAGTCTAGATGCAACGTTTCTACGGTAAATCATCCATCCACCTCAAGGGCAGCTGTTCTGCTTCTTCATGAGTTTGGTCGGAGTCTGTACTTTTTTTGAGTGGATACCGTAAAATATGTTATCTGCCTCTGAGTGCAAAGGAAGACACGTTTCTTCTAGACCTGAGGAAGGATGCAGAAAAGCATAAGGGCCGTAGTGGTGGCCTATGATTTCTGTATTTTGTAAAGGCCTGTGCTTGTGGAAACAAGAGGTACCAAGTCCTCTGAAAGCTGATAAATCGTTCACTAACTATAGAGATGTGCTGAATGACTTCAGATACTTTACTTTTCAGGCTGCTGATGGCATGGTCTAAGTTTTTAGGTGATAGGAATACCAAATTGGAAGGAATATTATGTGTAAGATATTTTCACATATGCGAATGTGCAACCAAGCCAAGGCTGAGCAACCAAGCAACCTGAGTTGTACTAATTCACTGATCAGCAGGGGCTTTCAGTAGCCAGACCTGTTGAGCCACCATAATACTTGGATTCAGACATGAAGAAATGTGGATATTTTAGACCCTGCGTTTGTACTGAAGTGTCTCTTAAGTTCTTAATCAGGATTTGGATGTCCTTTGTGTTTTTCTGGCCTGTTCAAACACTTACCAAAACTAAATTCATTCACTGATGATAATTTGCTTTGAAACCTCCAAAAGCAAAACAAGGTGTATGGAATTGTGCAAATGTAAAAACATCAGGACATGTGGCAACGCTTTTTGTGCCATCTTTTATCCAAGTGTTTCAGAATGATTTACAAGCATTAATTAATGTAAGCATTACAACACTCCTCCTTAATCTGTAGTTTTTAATATTCTTCAATAGCAGAATATTTAAACGTGACCTGTTCTGCAGGTTGTATTTTCACTTGGCTCAGCTTCTTCAGAATGCTCATCATGTTGCCACATGAGCAGGAAATTATAGCTAAAAGTATTGCTATTGTGTGCATATGCGTGTGTGTGTGTGTGTGTGTGTATGTTTTCCATTATAAGTATTTGGTTTTAAATACCTTTTTTTACTGACAGAAGGTAGATTACGATCCATATTCATATTTCACCAATTATTTTAGATATAAAATAGAATGAATATTTGTTATCTATAAAAAACATTTGCATGAATGTCATAGTAAGAAGGTGTCTCTTTCTCAAGTAGCTTATTATTCTAAAGCAAGGGTGTTTTTTTGTTTGCAGGATCACTTCAGCGGTGTTATACCTTCTACCCATCCAGTAAATATTACCAAAACAGGGATCTTTCTTACCAGGTTGGTCTTGGGCATCACATGTTTATGAGGTCCATAGGAGTCATGAACGAAGCATATCTCTCTCTCTTTCTTCCTCGTTTTAAGGCCTAATGGGACCATCGCAAGTGGTACATGAATTAGAATGGCTGTTGGTAACTAGGATAAGGGAGCCCACTCACAGTTTCAGACCAGTCCGGAAGCATTATTATAGGAATCAGTCTCTTTTCAGCCCTCCCAAGCACTGCATGTAAACCTTATATCCTTTGCAGAGCCACCTAATGTAGCAGACCAAAAGAAATAAATACGGGAAAGCGCAAGTATACTCATTTTTGGTATGTGGCCAATATAAAATTTTTGTTGCATTGATGCAGCATGTTACTATTGGTTCAGTTATATCATTACAAGCACAATATCAGTAGAGCTATGTCTGCATTAGAGATTTGCTCCCACATTTAAAAAAAAAAAACAAAATTAGATAGCTTGGTGCAAATATTACTCGAACCTTAAAAGAAATTGCCTACCATTTTTCTGAGGCACTTCATGCAAAATACTTAAGGGCTTTGTGTTTTCTCTAGGCTGTTGCTTTTATTGCTAGTAAAAGGATGAGTTTTATCCCACACTAGAAATAGTAAATGTCAACACAGTTGCTGTCTCTTCATTCTTTTCAGATGTGTTTTTGGTTGCCTTCCTCGTGTGAATTTTGGGGTTGTTTCCCTTTTCTACCTTTTGGCTCTTCATTTCTATTTTCCTTTCACCTTAAAGTCCGGATCTTTTTTCTGTCTTCTAAGATCAATCTGTCTATGCATTTTTAATGAGTCATTTGCTGTGACATATGAGCACTGAAGATACAGTATCAGGGACTTATGCATGTGCAGAGAGCTTATTCTGCTATGCAGGAGTAGCAGCAAGATGAAATGAATGTGATCTTAGTTTCATTCTTTTGTTCATGTGGGATGGTACCTTGCCTAGAGGCAGCACAAATATAACTTTCCTTCTAGCGAATAATGAAAAGAATTAAAAACCAGCAATGTCTCATTTTTCCTCTTCAGAGCACTGCTAGGAGTAGCGGATTTTGTCTGTGCCTTTGCTATTTCCACGCTTACCACTGAATCAATATTGTTTACGCAGAAACAGCGTTATAGGTAAGAATCTGTTGTGGAAGATTCACTCACAATCTCTACACAAGCATTTTTAAAATGTAGAGTGGGAAACGTGGGATTCGTAATATCAACAGTAATATCAACAGATATAATCTTTGTCATTATCTCATTAATCTTCCGTCATGGTCTGAGTAATTCTCCATTGGAAACTCTGAAGGAAAAGAAACTATGCTTTCAGTTACTGCCCTTAAATAACCAAAACATAAATGACCAAACCAGCAAGAAATTAATCTCACTCACAGGGATCTCCTCCTTACCAACCAGCTTAGCTTTCCATGCTGTGGCAAAAGCGCAGATATTGGAGGGCAGCTTCTTTTTTTTTTTTTTTAATTTGGTGAAAAATTGTCTTAAAGGTATTCTTATGAGTAAGAATGTTATATGTAAAACTCAGAAAATTATGAAAGAGTTTTAAATTTTCAGTTTTATTTCACTGGATAGATCTATAACATTGCTACAAATTACTCAATATTTTGCATTTTGTACTCTGTTCCAAAACTGGTGAGATATATTACCATCATACAGATAAAACAGCCTTAAAAACATGTGGAAAATGTAGAATTAATCAATATTTTAAAATGCAGAAAATCAAAAGCTTGCTTCTGA